CCCCACAAAGTATAGGCCACAGGACAAAAATAGCTGAATTTTTAAAAATGATAAAAAATAATTTTTACCCCCCTTCAAAAGTTTTTATACGCTTGATTCTTAATACTGTTTGTCATTACTTGGCTCATCCATGACTGTTTGTTGTTGTCGATTATGTTTTTTGATAGGTGTTCATGTTATAATTGTAAATGCTACATTTCAAATGTCAAAACAAATAAAAATATAGATAAACTAGATAAACCTTACTAATTGACTCAGCGGTTGGACAGTCTTCTAGCGGACCATAATAAAACCAAGTTAAAAATTTTACAGCTGATTATTTGTAGCACAATCTCTTAGCTTACCACATCTTCTGTAGGTGTTGAGACACATCTTGAATATGCTGTGTTATTTTACTGGCCATTAGTGGTGAATGGGGGTTATGCGCAACAAACTTCCATATTCTGCAAAACAGGACACATCGTTTCCAGTTCAGGTTTTTTGTATGTGCTTTGTTAAATATGGAGCTGTTTTACTCAGGATTCCTTCAGAGGAGATACCAAAGATGACCATAACCGATGCCCATCACATATGCAGATTGATATCTAAAAGTTGTTTTTATTTGTATTTTTATCACTAACATATTAAAATTGAATAAAACGGCGACAATAAAAACAACTAGGTTATTTAAAGTCCATAGGTTAACCTAAAACTCCATTGATATTGCCATCAGTTCATTCTGCTGTTAACACTTTCTCTGACAAGTGAATACGATGAGACCGGTTTTCAAGTTTCGACATACACCCCATTGTTGTCTTTACAGATTTCTAGCTTCAAAATGCATTTAATATTTATTTTACATAGTATTATATAATTATAACTATTACATAGTTAGTTCTGCTCTTATGCCTACTCTTTCTTTGTCTTTTTGTCCAATCAGAAAGTGTGACTGAGGTGAGGACAAACATCTATGTGACAAGCTTCGGACCAGTATCAGACACTGATATGGTATGTGCGTTCTTACTATTGCTTAATTTTTCAAAGTGTTTATACAAATTATCTTCACGCTTATTCGCTCACGTCAATATTGGTCTGTTCCTCAGATTTATTGCTTTTTTCATATAATGTATCATGCTTCAACCAGGTATGGTTACAAATAATTGGTGGCAGATTACCACATGAGAAAACTGAGATGTTTTCATTGCTGCTGAATTGAATTTAGAAAGATTTGTTTGTCAAAGGTGCCATAGAGGAAGACGTAGTACCGTCCTTTATTTCCTTTTGTCTCAGTGAATGTGTGAAGCTGTGTTCCTTTATGGGCTCATTTAAGAGAGGAGATAATTGGTTGCGAGGCTACATGGAGAAATGCATGCTTCTTAATCATACACACAATTGGCTCCGGTATGCAAGATGAATCACCACAGCCATGCGGCGGCACTTTGTATTTTGTCTAAAACATAATTTTCTAATAGTGAGAAGAAAACATCACAATCTGTCAAATTATACAGAGCATGAAACGATAGTCAAATTACACAGCAATAATAATCAAGGTTAATTTTAACATAATCAACCTATAAAGTTTATGCAAAAAAAAAATGCATTTCCAAATATGTCTTATGAATTGCTCCACTTAAAAAAGTAGAACTGCTGATCTGAAAGTCAAATTAGTATGAAGTTACACAATATCTGTTACACAGAGGACTGGAGGAAAGTTTATCACAGATTCTAAGTTGTATATACATAAAGTTTCTGCAGTCTGCAATAACAGCTCTTTTTCAATATGTTTGCGAATACAAAAACATAAATGTCACATTGCCCTACAGTAGGCCTATATACAGTATATTCTGTAGTGATACCAACCCAAAAAGTGGCTGTGAAGTACCCAGAAGACTCTAAAAACGCAAGCTTGCTATAATTGGCTGCTGTTGCGATAAGGAAAGACTCATTATCTTTGATCTATGCCTTGAAGTGAGAATATCACATTCTGCATGAGAGCCCTAGTATGCTGACTTATCTTCAACCTACTCTCTGCAATGGTGTCAAGACCAACTGAGAAGACAGAGGCACAACCAAAACCGTCAGTTTCAGGTTGGACAGTGAATTTGGTCATTAAACCCTGACAGCAGGTTCTAAATAGTTTGGCCCCTGCATCGTCATGCTATGACAGGAGATGTGGCCGTAACAAGCACAGCTGAAGAAATGCTTTCGGAAGGTGATGCACTGTGACCGTCTCACCTGCTACCTTGAGGATAAAGAAGGAAGTCCAGGACTTTTGCTCTCCAGCTAATGGGATCAAAAGTCAAGCATTGACACACACCAGTTCTGTCACCTGTTGGAATTCGGGTTCCTTACCATTGTCGCCTTCGGCTAGTTGGTGTTTAAAGGTACCCAGGCTCATACGTGCTAGGTAAAAACTTTAATTTTCGCACAATTCCTTGCACAATATTATGTTATGACTTCAAAATGATTTTAACATGATGCAAGATTTGAAAACTGATACTTCTGAACGTTATCATCACATATACATCTTGATATGTATTGGTTTTCTAATACAGTAGGTTTGCTCAATAGCTCACGCGATATGACGTTGCCCTTGTGAGGTGAAGCACTCCAGTACACATCCCATGAAACGTCTCTAGGTTACGTATGTAACCATGGTTCCCCGAGGGAAAACACGGCCAGGCGAGAGCGGAGCGTGCGCAGCGAGAACAGCTCGCAGTCATGACAATCAGCCCCCTCGAGAGCTGACCGTGCATGCTCCGCTCCCGCGCTCTGCCGGATGCGCTTTTATACTTTCTGGTGCTTACGTCACCCCGCTCGTGACGTCTCGCTGCTCCATTGGACTGATTTGACACGTGCTTCAGAACGCGGTCACGCAAGGGCGTTCCCAAAGCGAATCTCGTCGCAGCTCGAGTTCCTGAAGGGGAACTATGGTTTGACAAAACAGCTCAAACCCGTGTAGAAGGCAATTAAAATAGCACTATTGCATCAGCAAATGCATTTTTTTAATCACTTTTGCATTTGCTAACACTATCGAGTAGGTTTAGTGTTGGGTTTGGTGTAGTAGGTATGTTATTTTCCAACACGATAGAGCATTAACCTTTTAGCAACACTCCCCGGACATTTGAATTCTGAACCGCAGCAATACGTTCCTGAAGAAACTTAATAAAAACACCACAATACCTGCCTGTACACTGTAAAATCCAATTAGTAAACCTTACTTAAAAAAAGCATGCCAAATTGGGTTGTAGCACTCCCACTGTGTTCTCTGCTTTTGTGTGCATTAAACGTTGAATACACATTACTCTGAAATTGACAGCACTTCGTATGGACATAAAACACTTTGTTTAAGTTTCAAATGGCTGCGTAAGTGTCTAAAAAACTCAGCTTCAGTGCAGGGCTCAATGTACTCACATAACTGGCAGTGAAACGCAACTTTGGGTTTACTTGCTTGTCCGTCTGATTGAGAGTGCCAAACAGATAAGTGTACTTTTAGTGCATTAAAAGATTAATTATATGTGAGTCAGGAAAGCTATTGGAATTTACAGTGTACCAACGTAATAAAAACATGGCCTCAGTCACATATTGAACACATTTTACCAGCACTCACTGGACATTTCACTTTGAAAATGCTGCGAAACACGCACTAAGGTTCATAATATCGGTGACACAGAAACATTGCCACACGCATGTATATTCAATTAGCCTGGGTTGGTTTAAAGACACTTAATATTCAGGAATTTTTATTGATTTGACGTCATTGACACCATTGAGTGTGAATAGAACGTAAACTGAATTGAGCTGAATAATGACACTATTGTCTTCTGCAGAGCTGCTTTCTAGCTGAAACTGAACTTGTTTCATAATTGATGAACTTCGAAATGCTGACACTGCTATTGAACTGAATTGTGCTGAATAATGACATTATAGGCTTGTTAGAGCTGCTTTACAGCAGAATTTGAATTAGTCTTATAAATTTTGCATAATTGATTCTGGTACTGCTTTGAAACAATCTCAATTATATAAAGTGCTATAGAAATAAAAGTTACTTGACTTGACTTGACTTGAACCATCATCTTCTACTATGGAACTGCTACCAACACAGGCCACCACATCAACTCCCTCGACAGAATAAGTGCCTTCAATGGACTTCCCCAAAAACCCCTATCTACCCCTAGTCAAGTGCATCCTCATAGGCATCTGCAGAGGTGATGTCTTTTCAGGGACATTTTCATTGGAAGTCATTGGAAGTAGAGACAGCTAATATGAAGTATTATAAATAGTGGTGTTGTATTGAGGGTACAGTTTATTTGGTGAATCGTAACATAGACCTTGTTTGGTGGAAATGTGTAATTCCTTCATGCATAAAGAGAATGAGTAAATATTCATCTCTGAATGTGGCTATGCCATCACAAGAGTTATTTTCATTGTGCTGAAAATAACCGCCCATAATAAGTGATCTGCTGTCTCTATGTGACGTCTCATCAACCCCCCATGATTCCAAGTCATTGGGTTTGCATATGGGAACATCAGTGCTGAGTCTAACAACATCACAAGTCTAAAATGAAAGATTCACAGAAATCGATTTCTGAAAATACAGGCTTTGCGACAAGATTCTGTGGGGACTCAGGGAATCATAGAGAATGATCAGTCAGGTAGCAGAAGATAGCAGTGGTAAAAGATGCCTCAAGAGAAAACTGAAACAAAGTATAAAGTCAAAGCTTTTGCTGCTCTAGGCTATGATATGCGGTCACGGTCAATGGTCTTTGAGGTGGCCTGGCAATGTCACACTATACAGTACCTTGAGGAAGACTGGTCACACAGTGCATCGGCAGCCATAAGAGTGTTGTTACTAATGACTTGCCTCATGCAATATCGACCATTCATTAACCATCTGATCCATATTGCACACAAAACTGGCAAGACTAGTCCGAAAAGGCCTGCTCTGGTCTGATCTGACTGATTCTGTTCATTTCCTGAGAGTTAGTGTGTACAAATTTTCATCAGTCAACCAGAAAAAAAAGTTAGAAAAGTTATAGAAGTGTCAGTTCCAAACAACCAGGTCATTACTTCCACTGGAAGAGTGCCCTCTCAAAGAGTTTGTCAGATCATTATCCTCTTGGTAGAGTGTTCTAGCAGCTATTGGAGTTCTTGCCCCTTCATTATAGTGTCTTTAAGTTGTAGACACTTAAAGTCTGATGTTAGTATATCTGTATCCCCTATTAAAGGACACATGTCCAGTTTGTAGTGTTAGTCTTGTGATCTTTCATCACAGGTCTCAGCTGTAGGGGAATGAGCCCATGCTGTCTGCACCTGAGGTCAAAGTACAGGTGGTTCCTATAGTCTACAATTCTGATTGCCATCTTTTTATATTCACACACTAACTCAACCTAAAATGTGTGCCAGTATTTCTGGTTTATCCACATGTCCATTCTACGATGTCAGGTATAGTTCATTTATTTGTAACTGGACTTTCTCATTACTTGAAGATCTCTAGGGAAGCACTGCCCTGTGATATTTCAAAAATGCACAGCATCATAAGCATTTCTTAATGCACAATATGTAGTTATTTTGACATTGGCATTATTACCAAAATCAATTTTTTTTTTCCTGAGCTTGCATTTATGGAAACGTCTCAGCCTTTTTAGAGTTCATCTTTTGTCCTTCCTGAAGGCATTGTCAATGACTTACTTAATTTTCTTAAAGAAATTATTCTTTATCTATGCAAGATTAAGCTGGATAGAACCCATATATCAGATCAAAAGTGTTGTAGCATAATCTCTCAAGTTATGCATGAGATACTAGACATAGGTATCGGCTAGAACAAGCTAGCAACAAACTATTTGCTTTTTATAATCATGACTTTTTAGCAAAGTCATGATTATATTCACACTCTATTTAGGCTGTTTTGTCATGTTCCTTATTTTAATTTTAAGTAGTTCATGTCATGGTCCCAGTTTGCGTACTGAGAGCTGTTTCAACAGCTAGTGCAAATGTCAGATTTGCTT